CTAAAAAAGATAAGCTTGGAAAGCTATCCAACAGTTAATATACCATTAAATTGCTATACACATTAACCTTACACATGACAGTAAACCAATACATTATGTTCATGTGAATGTAATTATGGCTAATATGCAACCCACTCTGCCAACTCTTGTGCAATATTGACCAGTCAACTTAGATTACCCTACACAGACTAGCCTACATGTATAGGCTGCACAGTATTAATTAGCAACCATGTTATTTAACTTGACAACTATTCAGGTGGAAGGGGAATAAAAATGAGAGATTAAACCTTACAACTCTATGTCACCCCTGGTCATGTGACACTGACACAGTCTATAAAACATGCGTGACTCTTGCTGTTCACAGCACTGTAACACATTCACTGGTTTACTGCTGGTCCCTCACCATCAAGCCACAGAACTGATACGAGCTCGGGGTCATACGCAAGAGTTCTCCGGTCACACAAAGCCCACTAGCTGTAGGCTACCAAATAGTTTCCACTAGAGTCAGAGAGGCCATACAAAATCCACCTCAGACTAAAGATCTGCTCTCCTCCTGACCTTGTTTTGTCTGCTCTGTCCTCTGTCGCACCCTTCTCAGCCTCACCCTCCTTCTGACTAATGGATTAAGGTAATTATGACATGGCTGTGCCCACATTCTGTTGGTGGGGTGAAAATTGATATTCCAGCTTTGTTGTTCTCACTAAACTGTTGATGAAATTGTATTGCCCCAGAGCAATACCAGCTCTTCACGTTAGTAGAGATATAAAGCACGGGTAATGTTTCTGCCTTCTTCATTTTAAAGTTAAAAGCAGCTCTCCAAAGTGTGTTTTTCATATGCTTGTGCATTAGCTATCAGATTTCAGGTATTCAGGTATTCAGCAATGCAGATACAGTCAAAGGCTTAGGTTAGGAGCGGCTTACAAAAGTGTTGGAATGTAAAGAGGCTGATTAGATGGCCTTAACCAGCCCTGTCTGGACCCCCCCCCCCCACACACACACACACACACACAGTCTAACAGACATACAGCAAACAACTCACTGACCTCTGCTCTTTCCACTCAGTCACCTCTATCGCTCACCAGAATGAGACAAGTTCTGACACCACTGCTAATACTCTAATCTAAATGACACTCTTCGTGTTATTGCTGAGTTTAGGTTAATTGGTTGCATTTGTTTACATTTCAAACTATTTTAGTGCATGCTATTGACATACTAACTTAAAAAAAAGCAGTCAGTAAAATGGAAGTTGTGTGTTGAATTGTTTTGTAAATTTTACATCATATAATTCCTGTGTAAGATTATTTCACCCAGGAGAGAGGATATTTCTCAGACCCTGATGTTTATGTCTAACAAAGTTGGTTTAAAACTATTTGCCTGGTTTGTTGATAAGAAATTATTCCCATCACAGTCTGTGTGCTGGCAAATCATTGTAGACAAAAACATGGGTTCAAGCCCGAACTCTCACCTGTAACATTACAGAAAGAGTGCAAATGATGAACAAGTCCAATATCTGCTATTTTAATGTGTTAACGCTCTGCATTGTGGGTTCACTTAAGCAAAGTCTCCAGACTGAAGTGTGCATGAAGAGTTAAAAGCTTGTCAATTTCACTGTGGGACAGCCCTGAGCCTGCACAGACTTATCATGAGCGCATGTCAGGGTTTGTAAGTGCATAAAGGGGGACTTAATACTTAATCTCTACAAACAGTATACTATTTATGTCAATAAACTGACAAGAGGCTGGTGAAAAAGTGGTTTGAATCTAGGACACCTTAGACTGACCCAACATCATTCCAAAACAAACCCATAAGTCATCTTATAGTATCAAAGCAACATCGCACTGTAAGGAAATCCATATAATGCATTCTGAACTCTTTATAATATGTTTTTGTCTTTTTAAAAATACATTAACCAAGGGGTAAATGGCATATTTAAAAGAGGCTTTGATAAAAAATAAGGTGTCTCAAGGAAATTCTTGAGGATGTTCTCCAGATGTAGTATTTGCAAATCTAAATATAACGCCAGATGATAATAGAAGAAGAAGAAGAAGAAGATATACTTTATTAATCCCCTATTGGGGAAACTGTTCTTTTCACTCTTTTTTATACACACACACACACACAGGCTGAAATACACACTTCACACTTGTGGACATGCAACAGGGAGAGAGAGATGGTGGAGTATATATATGGTGGATAATACTTTATATTTCATCATTAGTCAAGTAATGTATCACATTGTCAAAAGCTTGTGTTAACTTCGAATGAGTAATTCTGAAATTTGCAACAGTGAGGCCACCAAACTTAATCAGCATTAGTGGCGAGAACGGCGTTTTTTTCTACAGGGCTCTAACACCCACACTCTTTCATGTGGTTTCAATCCTCCAGTTTTACAAATTACTAAAAAGTCTGAAAATGGGATTGACCCTTTCAAATGATATTGCAATGTTTCACATCTTTGTAAGACATCCTGAGTTGCTCTTCCACCTCATCACTTCTTCCTTCCTGGTTTGATAAGTTCTCTTCACAGCGGCCCGATCCTCTCCACGTAGATCTCTCTCAGCTCTGCATCATCAATAACTTCAAAGGCACAAAAGCAGCTAAATTAGGTCCGCCACTTTCTTCTGTCATGACTAATGAGCTCTCCCTTCGTTTGTGTATTAGTCTCGCTCTGCTGTGGCCGTACCCCAGGGAACGGGCCACTGCTGTGCCTTCCCATGAACAGGTAAGCCCAAACAGATGACAAGGCAACCGAATGGAAACAGAAACAATAGGGTTCTATTTGAGTTGTTTTTGAGCCACACACACAGTGTTGTATTAACTTGCAAGCAGATGCATCCATTTACCCCTTCGCTAGGACATAACTTTGTACAGTAACTGGCAATGATACTTGTGTTTTTGGTTAACTTCATTCTTGTGTCTTTCATAAACAGTCTGCTAACCTTTCTTCTAACAAATAACAGCCGCAGAAAAGCTTGAATATAAAAGAGAAAAACACAAAAAGACAGACTCCACTACATTTAAAACAGAGAAAACTAAAACACGCTACCTTAGCTACAGTTTTGGACTACCGTAGCGAAGTGTTGAACTCCTTATGGTTATGAAAATATCTAGTTGATTGGCAGGATCATCTTCCGCAGCTTTTGGCAGCAGGGACGTGACTGATTTGGCCTATCATTAAATAGTGTGCACCCAGGAATCTAAAAATACAAATTGTTGCAATGATGAGATCATACACTTGGAGAAAGAGAGAGAGAGAGAGAGAGAGAGAGGGAGAGAGAGAGAGACTGACACACTATGATTATAGGCTTTTGTCACAGGAAAGAAATGGTTATTTGTCAGCACCATGTCAAGAGAGGCCACAAAAGAAATCAACACTCTGACTGGCCAGAGAGACCAAGCCTTAGTATAGCTCACATCACTCTTTTCCCCAAACAAATTGCATTATTATTGAATGAGTAAACTGCGATGTGTCATCAGTGAATTGCATTTAGCCATTAATGTAGATAAAACTGGGGACTCAAACTAAAGCAATATCATCCTAGTTGATACATTTGTGCTAATACATAGGAATCAAGAGGAATACATTTGCATTGGGTGGTTCTATGTCAGGAACTCCATTATAGGTTACACTCAACAGCCAGTCTGCTTAAACTAAATGTGTCAGTATCACTTCACACCAGCAGTGAACTCAGTTGTCTCTTCTGTACCCTCCAGCTATCCAGGACACACAGTGGGAACACTAGAGAAAATACCCTTATGTTGCCTTATGTTACTGTTGTACATGAGTCAATTAAAAGTAGGAGACCTATGAACTGAGATAAAGTGCGATGCATGAGAGTGGTTTATATGACTCCACAGCAACGCCTGGGCCAATGCTTAGATAAAGCGAATTTTATGGCTGTGGGACATAATATCAGTTTGGATAGAACACTGGGTTCACTGGCATTCACTTCATCCACTGACATGACTTCTTCTACACAGGTTTGACTTTCTTACGTAACTCTTCTGGAATACAGAAGGAGTATCTGTGTCATTTTTTTTGATGGAATAAAGAAAATAAAGATGAATTTGTTTGTATGTATGTGTTGTGCAAACAGCATGTTTTTCATCCATTTGTGACATATTTTATTCTTTCTTTGAATGTGTGAAGACTATTTTAGTGATTGAAAGGGGAATCCCATGCATGGGCATGTCCAAAAGGTGGCAGTGTTGAGTTTTAGAATGGTGCGCAGAGGCATGACAAATCTCTTCAATCCACCACTCATATTTTCTGTCAATTGTCTCTAAAATTACCACTCAACGTCGTCCGTATGTGCCACTTGTGTGTTATACAGTTATTTGTGATATAAAATAACAGCAATATTACATACTGTCATTAATAAGTTGAAGTATTTTTTTTTTTTTCTGGGAGAGACAAACAAAAATATAATTTACTAAAACCGCAAACATATTGTAAAATATGAAATGAAGTTGCCTGCAAAAGCAAATAGTTGCGCTTCCACCTGTTAAAAGTGTGTCTAAATGAGTTAAATACATGTTCTCTGTTTATTAAAATGTTATTAAAAACTGTTATATTTTATCGTATTTATATCTACCTATCTATCTATCTATCTATCTACCTATCTATCTATCTATCTATCTATCTATCTATCTATCTATCTATCTATCTATCTATCTATGTTCTCTTTTTTCTCTTAATGTTCTGCATCAGGACTTCCATGTCAAGGAATTTACAGCACGCACGCTTCACTTCCACCGAAATCAAAATACATAAAAACTAGATTAAATAGTTGCTTCATCTAAAAGCGAAGATTCAAATAACAACCACAGTGGCCAAAGAGTTAAGAGTCTGTGCCCAGCTGACAGTCAGCTGATGGCCTTTGACAGTTTCGAAAAGTTTTGTTTCTGTGGGCTACTAATATGTTAATTAGCTCTCGGAGTGTGCGACCCTATTGGCTCTTCGTCCGAGTCAATTTCCCATTTCCAGCCTGACGTCAGGGCAGCTACAATGCTCTTAAACTCATCTGCTGTGTGATCCCTCTAAAAAATCGCCCCACCAGTCAGCGGCTTATAACGTGCGTGGCTACATTCACTCCCTTTACTTTCGGCTTTTCTCCCTCTCCGCTTGCGCAATGTATTCATGAGGAAACCGTAAAGTGTTAAATGTTTGAAATACAAAACCGCCGAATTTCACATGCTGAAAAAGGACTCCGCTACTCGTGCGCGCGGCACTGGTGTGTCTGTGCAATAGACTCTGCAAAGAAAAACTACTCTCACACGCCTGCAAGTCCGTGGCTGCAAAAAAGGACGCTGAAAACCTCATTTTTCAGTTTCAAGACAAACGTTTAAAAATCAAAACTGGCTCACGTTTTTCCCAACCAACCCAGTTTGACAGCTGCGCTTCACCCCGTTTGGAGGACTGTCAGCAGCAAGAGGATGGCATCAGAGCTGGCAATGAGCAACTCCGACCTGCCCACCAGTCCCCTGGCCATGGAATATGTTAATGACTTCGATCTGATGAAGTTTGAAGTGAAAAAGGAGCCGGTGGAGCCCGATCGCAACATCAGCCAGTGCAGTCGCCTTATCGCCGGGGGATCCTTGTCTTCCACCCCGATGAGCACGCCGTGCAGCTCGGTGCCCCCTTCCCCAAGCTTCTCGGCACCCAGTCCGGGCTCGGGGAGCGAGCAGAAGACACACATAGAGGATTTCTACTGGATGTCCGGTTATCAACAGCAGTTGAATCCAGAGGCGTTGGGCTTCAGCCCCGAAGACGCAGTCGAGGCGCTGATCAACAGCAGTCACCAGCTCCAGTCCTTCGATGGCTATGCCAGGGGCCAGCAGTTTGCTGGCGCAGCCGGAGCAGGAGGCACCATGGCCGGGGAGGAGATGGGGTCCGCCGCGGCGGTGGTGTCGGCAGTTATCGCTGCGGCAGCCGCTCAGAACGGAGGGCAGCACCACCACCACCACCATCACCACCACAGCAGCAGCCACCACCAGGCACCCGGCGTCCAGTCCAACGGCACTTCTGGTTCAATTCACCCACACATGCGCTTGGAGGATCGGTTTTCGGACGACCAGCTGGTCAGCATGTCAGTGCGGGAGCTCAACCGGCAGCTACGGGGGGTCAGCAAGGAAGAAGTGATCCGATTGAAACAGAAGAGGAGGACCCTAAAGAACAGAGGCTACGCTCAGTCCTGCCGGTACAAGCGGGTCCAGCAGCGGCACGTCCTGGAGGGAGAGAAGACGCAACTTATGCAGCAGGTCGATCACCTAAAGCAGGAGATCTCCAGGCTGGTCCGGGAGAGGGACGCGTACAAAGAAAAGTATGAGAAGCTCATCAGCAACGGCTTCAGAGAAAATGGATCGAGCAGCGACAACAACCCTTCATCCCCGGAGTTTTTCATGTGAGTGTCGACATTATCGTGAAAAAAAAAAAAGAATATCAGATGAGTTACTCACCCCCGCTTACAAAAGTTTTCATTATGAAACATTTTTTTTGTTCATTTGGCGCAAAGCCTACTAGACCAAGAACTAATTTGTCAACTTTTTGATTTTTTTGATTTTATATTTTTTTTTAAAACAAAACGTTTGCTCAAGTCTGCGACTGTTTTTAGATTTTGAGGGCTTTGTCATCCGTGTTTTTAATTTTGGAAAGGCATTCAAAAAAAAAAACTTTCATCCACTTTTTGCTATCATACTCAGTATATTATGCATAGCCTGTTTGTCAAGATTTTTTTCATCGTTGTTCATTAGATTTGCAGTGTTTGAGTAAAATATGATTTTTGAGAGTTGATCCAACTTTATGCCGCAGTATACGAAGTGTGCATGCAAGCACTGAGTATATTCCTCGGAAGTTCATCAACTTGCCCTTTTTTCATCATTTTACTTGTAATTCAGTGTACAGATTCATATTTAAACCTGCATCCATCGACAATGTTTTTTTTTTTTTTTTGTCTTTTTTTACCTTTTCTTTTTTTTTGTCTGCCGAACATGGAGGATTGCGAGCCTGCCGTTTGACGCCACCTCATCTCATGCGTTTGCTTGTTATTGTGTTGAGCAACAAAAGACTATATCCATTACAAACTTTTCATGTTTTTAAAAAAAGATGTGTTATTGAACTGCCCTGCATGCTGGACATGTACGGTTTTTTTGGGGGTTTTTTTCTCCTTTCTGTGCTTGAAGATGTCCCTTTTGTCGGATGACTCCAGCATGGCATTCATACTTCATTTATGGCCTCCTCACTTTTTTGGGACAGCAACAAAAAAGTGACAGGACTTCCCCACCCCTTGTAATCTAAGTGCATTTCAGCTGTGTTGAAGTGCACCACCATCGGCTGTCATTAGGCTGCAGCGAATGCGCTATGCATTCCTGGTGGAAGTTGATCGGCGGGGATCCTGGTGAGAGGGGGGAAAAAGAAAAGACTTCACTATTAAGATCACCAATCCCTTCCCTGGAAGTTTAGTCTGTTGCTTAAAGCCTATATTGTTATTTAAAGATATTCCATTCTGCATTTGACGACATTGAGTAATTTTTAAAGCGTAATTTAAGTAGCCTACAAAGTTTTATAATGCAAGTTGCAAGAGATAACGTGCTACAGGTTGAAGCATATAGATTACTGGGATAATGAATAAGAATACTGCTGCACAAAAGTATTTTTTAACATCGGTTTAGAGGAATTGGCACGGCTCCAATTTATACAATGAGCAGTATTGTGCAGTGCATAAACAGCGCTTTTGCAGCATGTGCTTCAAACTGAAGTGTTAAGGGCTCCATTGGTCTCCGCCACACATTTCATTATTGCATTTCAGATGAAAAATAAAACTAAAGTATTGTTGGAGAATATCACTCTCACAGGCGAAGTCAAAGTCAAATGCCAGACTTTTGGAAAATGTGTGTCTTCAACCAACTGACTTGTTTTGGACTTAAATGCACTAAAAGGTCAATCATGTGGAAGTTAAAAGAAAAAGTATTCTCCACATCTCAAGAAGACGAAGTTTGACTTTCTGTTACGACCCAATCGTAACATTTTGATACTTTATTATCAGTTCAGGAGAGACTGTTGTTTTGTCTTAAACGAACTCAATATTTGCAAAGCAATAACAATTATTATAATCAATAATGTCTGGACATTGTTAGATTGTCAGGGATTGACACCCTGCTTGTACAAAATGAGGGAGTACCATTCGCCAATACATCTTGAAAATATGTTAATTAATCTTTCATCTTATATATAGTATATATATATTTTGCTGTGCAAAATTATTTCACTCACTAACCATATGTGATGTTCATATGTGCTCGTTTTTTCATTTCATATAATTAAATGATATGCAATAAATGTATGTAATTGTCCTCAATAAGTTTCTCACTTTTCTTTTCTTTTGACTTGTCCTGATATTTTTTTGCTTTTGGGATAGAAACATAATGAAAGCATAGAATCAGAACATGATGGAGATCACTGCACTACATTTTAACACAGTTTATATTTGCTGTTGTCGCCCTTTTTAATGTGTTTTCTTCCAACGCTAATTTAAGAGGGGGCCACCCTGAACGAATCAGAAGCCTTATCATTTACGAGTCAAATTTACTCAAACCGATGAAGCAAAAACTAGAAAGCTATTCAACTTTAGACGCTTTTTCCATTCTGACGCTTACAGTGCTGCAGTTCACAATGTGGAGATAGAAGTCCGGTGTTACAGATAAGTTGATGATACCACAAACAAACAAAACAGATAAAGACATGCAGTGTCCTACATTTGAATGTCATTTTGTTCTCAGAAGCTATTGTCTGATACAGGTTTCACATTTCTTCTCCGAAAAATCACCAAATTAACTGTGAATGAGAAATCCTTCTCACAATGATCCCAAAACGGAGATTTAAACTGAAATCATATTTTCTGCCATTTTTGTTTCCACTCCATTTCCTGAATCCCCCTTTCACAATCAAATGATTATAATATTATCAAGATTGTTTTTACATATTATATTTGAAAAATATCATTAATAACATTCTCATTTGTGATTATGGATTGGTTATTATTTATATATTATAATTACATCCTGTTAATCTTGTTGTAAAATGTGACCTGTGATTAGTGTGTGGGTGTGTGAGTCTTTCTCTCGCTCTCTCTCTCTCTCTTTCTGTGCCTGTGTTCTTGTGTGTATGGGTGTGTGCATGTCTGTTAACTCAAGTATGTGAGAATAATACCCATGTGTGTTTCCTTGAATCACAGTTCGTAAGGATGACTATCTCCATTTGAATTTCTTCTGACTGCATGCTCTATATTTGCACCCTCCATTTGCCCCTTTTCATATTTCTTGCTCCTTGACGTCTGTATGTGCAGTGTGTCCACTGTCTGTGTTTTTCTGACACTGTGTGCGTTTTTCTGACACTGTGTGCTCACTGTCATTGGCCTGTCATCATCTGGCTTTTCCCCGTTTCACCCCACATTATCCTGTTTGCCAAAGGGCCTGGAGGTTAGCCTGGTACAGATATGCTCTCAGGGAGGAGGTGCGGTGAGGGCACAGTCATGTCAGGCATGTGAGGGGGCGCTGGAAAAGGTGCCAATGTAAGTCAGCCGCTGCGGTGGGCAGCAGAGGCTCGGCGCTGCTGTACCCAATCTTGCATTTCAGTTGGTGTTTAGACATCTCCGACTTCTTTCAACAGAATCTTTGAAAACTGAAAAGGCCACTTTTCTGAAACACAAGAGGAAAACTTCTTTTGCAAGTTCTGGGACAAGGAATAGCCTTGTGGGCATCTTGTTTCACTGTTCCAGAACAATTTGTTTGTTGAAACAGGAAGACCAATGTGCCAAAATATACTTTGAAGAAACACTAAGGTTTCTAAGGACAGATCCAGTCTGGGTTTGTCAGCTTTTTGTAGCTCAGTCCCACTTTGTAGCACAAAGGGCACCATTCATAAAAATTATCCACACTGTTAGTGTGTTAACAAAGTGATCAATTGTTATTCTATACTACGAACAGCTTTGCAGTTATAAATCCCATACCTTACTAAATTTACAAAAAAATGCATCTTCTGCACCATCTGCCAGTGACGATGTGCTACACAGCTTGTCAAAAAAACAAAACAAAAAACGAAACAGTTTTTAACCTCACACTTGTATCCCACTCTGTTGTGTGTGATTTCCTCTGAGGTGCTTGCTGCTGCTGTGGTGGCTGATTTGCCCAGAGTGAGTGGAGAGACTGAGACAATAGTCGGGCTTGGGCTGAATTAAATGATTTTGCTGATGATTAATAGTGGTGTGGGCCACTGGCTCCTGCGATGTAGAGATGATAAATCGTGAGTGCAGCTCCGTGCAGCTGTGCCAGTGTTGGGTCTTAGCATGCACACACCACGCAATTTACAGCCAAGCCGCTCTCCTTCTTCCTCAATTTATCTAATTACATCTATTTGATCTAAGCAGTAGCGCTGCTATATTTTGATATTTCATATTAGCCACAACAATGTATTGAATGACTCCAGGGTGGATAATTGTTTGCTTTTCCCCCTCTTTAAGGAACATGGTTCTGTACTTGCCATTTAAATAAGAAAACATTTTTTTCTTTATTTAGGAGCTAGGATTTGCTTCTCTACAGGCCGTGCATTGGTGTGGTGGGTTTTTTTGATGTGTTTAGAGTGGCATGTAAAAAATGAAAATGTGGTTTCTGTTTAAGGCTGCCTTGTTAGACTCTTTAGCTTGTTTATTTTGATTGTTTCCTTATTGGGATAGATCAGTTAGACCTCTAATGTCCATGCTCTAGAAATGAAAACGCACACACCAGCCTATGCGCACCAGCACAAACACAAATGCACAAACAATAAACGGCCCTGCATAGATTTGCCCCAGCCTTTTATTTCACAGCATGATATTCCTTGTGTTTCTCTGTGTTCTGACATTTATATGACTCAAATACTTCGGTCTCCAAGCTAAATGACATTTGCGTGAAGACAGATCTGATTTGCAAAATATGTTTCCTGTTATATCTGTGGCACCAGTGCACAATGGTTATGTAAGTGATAAATCTATCGATTTTCCAATGATGCACTCATATGGAACGTTGGCGCTATGCAGGCTGACAGCATAAGATGCAGCACGATGTTCACTCAAGTAGCAGCGCGCCAGTTGACAGGCCCAAAAATAAGTGCTGGTTGGGGGTCTGTATTCTTACAGGCTTTAGATGGTGCCAGAGGAAGAGCTGGAGAGGATTTGTTGTTTTGTTGTTTGTGTGTGATTCTGCATCTCTTCAGTCACGTTGGCCTGTGTACGAGGTCGAGGCCTGTGTGGACAATGCGTGTGCTCATACGTGTAAATGTAAATGCGCGGGTATGTGTCTGTGCATGCGTTTCTGTGTGTGTGTGTGTGTGTGTGTGTGTGTGTGTGTGTGTGTGTGTGTGTGTGTGTGTTTGTGTCTTTCTCTTGTCGGCTTTTGGAGAAGGATGAGCAGAGGTCAAAAGTTACAGTGCACAAGGCTGCTCTCAAAGTCATTAGAGTAATCCCTGCCCTGGGGAGCTCGTGCTCATTTCCGCTGCCCAGAACCCACTGAATAAAATGTACATGCATATCCGACATGGTACAGTACACAGTAAATTCAAGACAACTCACTGCCATTTTCTTATATTCATTTCCTGCATTTCATCACTGTTTTAGAGTATGTTTCTCAGGATTTGAAAACAATCAAATTACTTTATTGAAAAACAACTTTCAGTCGAAATGTTTCTTGTTTTTTGTGCATGTGTAAGAACTATATTATTAGGTATTGAGTTACCTAAAAATGTGTACTTGTCAGATGTCTGGTAGGTTTTGTTTCATGCTGCCTAATATTTTTAGTTTTTCATCATATGTTACTGGACAGAAAAAAGCCACTGAGTCACTGTCAAGTGGAAATAAGGATGATTTAAATAAGGCAGTCTCTGTACTTAACTACTTTGGTATAGTGTTCATGACATTCATGACGATCACAGACAGCAACTCATTTTATTCTCACACCCACACATCATTCAATAACCTATGGTACTTAAGCAAAATGAATTGTTCCTCCTATGTGATATCCACTGAGTCAGAATGGGTGTGCTAAACTTAGTCAGGAGTTTACACTTTAATTAAGGTTAAAAAACAAATGAAAAATACCAAGCTTTTTGAGGGTGTTGTTTGTCCTCTCTCGTAGTGCGACAAATTCAAAATAATTGTTCTTCTACTTAAAAAAAGAAGTTGGCAAAGAAATAAGGTTTCATGATGTCATTTTAAACATCTGAAAGATTTAAGTTTTAGTATAACTTTGCAATTATGAGGGTAGTGTGCATTTATGATGAAACGAAAACCTTTGCATAATTTTTGCTTTTCTTTCTTCTTTTCTTTCTATCATTTTAATGGTTGCTGGGGTTGAAGGTGAAGCCTCTCCAAACATACATACACTGGTCATATTACTGGACATATTGCAAGCACATCGCAGGGCCACTGTTGCTACTTAAATAAAAACACACTGAAATAATCAAGTAATGAATTTCAGTGTATGTATTTCATAAAGTTAGGATTTAACTTATGAGTCTGGTTTTGAGTCAAGCCATGCAGATAGAGGATACTGGATGTCCAGGGAGTTAACAGTAACAGTAGTCAGGTGTCTCAGCACAACCAGGTGGCAGCCACATCTGCAAATCTGTCCAGATTTATAGCAGATAGAGAGGGGAAAAAATCATCTCACTTTACAGTGTATTCGAGAGGTACAGTACAGAAATACTCACTCTTTTAGAATTAAAGACATCAGGGATCAATTAAAATGCTTATTTTATCACAGTCCGTTTTGCTCTTTCTATACATTTGTTTCTTTCTTTGTGGAAGAAAGTCCCAGCATGCTTCAAATAGACATTAAGCGGATACGTATGGTGTCATTAGAGAGTTGTCCTTGAAAGACTGGCTGCAGGTTATGTTGGTAATGAGGTGGTCGGGTCTTGCTGGGGTAATTTTATATGTCTGTAAATGGACCCAAACCAAGAGCCTGTGACTTAAATAAATGCAACACCATCTCTCAGCAATCCCATTGCACAAAAGGTGACAGAAAAAAAAATTTAAGTGGTATTAAAGTGGCATACGGTTTTAACATTTCTACAGATAAAAAACCTAGGCCTATAGACCAAAATCTATAAATGTAAGGTTTTATTGGCATTTTAAGTTAATTTTAAAGCATGTTTTTTTTATTGAATGTAGAGCTGCAGCAGAGCAATGCACATGAGAAACACATCCACTGACGATTCAGTCATTTACAGAGAAGAACAATGATCAATATTCAGCAAAGTTGTTGCATATGGAGAGTATTTTTTCCTTGCGTTTCTCTCCTTAGCACTTACAGTGTACTCAACTGTATATCGATACAGTAGAGAATGACAACAACGCCCGGAGACATAAAGCATACCGTACAACATAAGACATTTGTAACTGTTGATATGTACCAACATGTCCACTATAATATTGATTCCACTCTTTAGTATTTCTTAATGTAGAGGTCTTTCGGTTTTTTCAACAGAAGTTCTTGCAGTTTACAGTTTGTGATTTAGAGGCAAAGGCAATTTTCTTCTGCAGGGGCACTAATATCATCATGCTGCATCACCGCTGTTTTCCTACAGATTCTATATACTCTGGAGAACTGAGTTATGTGGCATTTATTTGAAAATCCAATGATTTAAAATTTCCTTCACTGCAGTGTATGTGCAAAGTGTTTCCACAACTGTCATTTTTCCACAGCGTTTTAAAAGGGCCGTGCCTGGCATCAGTGTACAGGCAGCTAAGAGCTAAGCTAATGTTTTCACTAGCTTAGCTCTTAGTAGCAACATTTATTGGGAATATGAATAACTCTATTTGGACCAGCCTGGAGTAACATGCTTACTTGTGTGTGTTTTTGAGGGGGGTGCTATCATGGTTTATCATGAAGTAGAAGGGAAGGCAGATATTACCATCCTTCACTGTTTTATTTGTCTGTATGATTAACCCTTTTAGAACAATTAATTTTGTAATTTAATGAAACGAGCAGAAGTAAAGGCCTTGACAAAAAACTATTTAGCCTTTTCTGTGCGACAGCACATTGTATGCTTAGATATTTTAGTTTTGTCTCTTGTGGTTAACAGTGTTTTGATGCATGGGTTCTGCCTGTGGAATCTATTTGCATGCAAATTTTTACATTTCCCTCCGCATCAAACGCTTACTATGATACATGTACTGTGTTTTCATCAGACAGACAAGGTGAGAGTGAATCTCGCTCAGAATGGATCTACTTGTTTCTTTGTGATTGTTTGTGCGTGTCTGTATGCATGTGTGTCTGACAGGGTAGCAGAAAGTGACACACACGGTAGAAGAAACAGAGGAGGTAGAGAAGACGTCATGTGTATTTGTCTTGATATTCATTTATCTATTCTTATATGTTTTCCAATCTTATCTGCTCCTTTAGGTCATCGAGAAAATTCCTCCATCTGTGATTTCAAGCCCCATTCCTCCGTGCCCTTGGCTCTCTGAGGTAAAACACTTTGTAATTGATCTCTGTCAGCTTTTTTGCTTTTGTTTCTCCTGTGATTTTGACTTCACGATACAGTGAGTGAAGTTCGATTTCACACATTTCGAAGTCCATGAAATACTAGCCCTTTTAAAAAATTATCACAGCTATACAAATGATATAAAAAAATGTTGTAACACACAGTATTACTACTTGTCATGTTGTTTCTATTTTATTATATGCCTACACAATGAAATACATATTAATTATTCATTAATATTAGACTATCATATTAAATAGTGAGTGGATACAATCACCACATATAGTATTGGGTGTTTTATAGCATATTGCAGGTGTCTGTAAGGCTTCCACAATCGAAACATAATGTACCATGGTTTGTCAATACCTATTCATATGCTAAAGAGCACACCGCTTCTTTATGTTGACAGTATCTCTCTCGATCACATCTTTCTCCTTCTCCCTAATGCCATAACTTTGCCGAGCACTGAACACATTTCCCAACCTCATTTAAATCCACGTAGAAGAAGAAAAACCCAGATATGACGTTTTCAGTCGTCCTGGATCAACAGCACAACCAGCAGATTATAGCCACTCATTCAAATGTAAATTACATGTTCAGACTTTGTGTGAAAAAAGGCAGAGAGAAAAAGGCAGAAAGTCTCGGACACCAGGACAGAGGCAGAGTGAAGAATAAGCTTCTAGTCCTTAAATCAATTCAAAGAGATACTGAGGAACCTGGGCAAATGTATATTGCAAACCCAATTGTTCCTGTAATGGTTTCACTGATTGTTCCATAGCGAACCCCTGTGATGTGCTTGGTAATGACACAAAGATGAGAAAAGGCTTGAGCTTGCATTCATGACTTCCCACCTTGATGAAGTCGATTGTGCATGCGTCTGTTTGGTTGTACATGTATTTGTATGCCATGTTATTTACTTGATTATGTCTAAGTGGGGCGTGGGATCAGTAGCTGGCCTTTCTCCAGCTCTACTTAACTTCAGGAGGGGAAGCAGGACAAAAGCCATCAAAGAAGACAAGGACAAATCATCTTTAGATGAAGTGTTTTAAGTGCTCTGATTCTCCTCCCACGTCATCACTGTGAATTAGGTGCCCTCTGCTCACTGCTACGGGGTGGGGAATATAAACAATGCCAAGGGAACGGATGTTAAACGAATGAAAGTGGAAAACCATGAGGGTGTCTATCTTAGTCAGCCTCGTAAATCTCAGTTCCCTTGCCATGCCGTTGCGCTATACTGATGTTGCGCTCTGACAACCTGCCAGCCAAGCTTAGAGGGGCTGTGTGCAGTGTGGTCTGGTCGATCCTGTTCTTAGCGGTTTCAACTATGGCAGACGTTGCAGGCAGAGCCATGTCTTTGTTTTATGCAAATCCATGCATATGAGGAGGGGGGGAGGGCGATGAGCAGTCTGGCCACGTAGCTCCAGGAGGACAGGCTGAGTGATGGAGACGGAGAGCCAGGTCTCGGTGTCCTTGCCTGGGGAAAGAGTGTCCTGACTCCGGCCAGGACTGCCTTAACACCAGGACAATGTGTCACTGCGCCTCTACCCCACCAATGCGAGAGAGAAAGATATTTCTAGGCACAAATGTATTTACACTATGAGATGTTGAGTTGGCGAGGAGATAAAGAGAGGTTAACGCTGGGATGAGACTGCCAGTGTGTCTCACCTGCGACTGGTGTGTGTGTGTGTGTGTGTGTGTGCGTGTTATGAAGACAGGCACACCTCAGGGGTACGCCATGCAAAGACACACTGGAGTTCAGAGCCCAGCAGGGAGTTGAAGGACCCAGAATATGCTGACAAAGATTAAACACCAGGTGTGTGCATATGTACTGTAAGTCTGTGAAAGAGGCTGTGAGAAAGAGAGCTGAGTGCAAATATAGATTGGGGAAGCAGGCTAGTGTGTGTGTGTTTGTGTGTGTGTGTGTGTGTGTGTGTGTGTGTGTGTGTGTGTGTGTGTGTGTGTGTGTGTGTGTGTGATCACATAAGCATACTGTAACAGGTAGGCAAGGCCACCAACTGTGTGGCCGTTGTATGGTGGTTTTGTGTGAAATCTGCTGAAAAGTGTCACCCACACACCACATCTATTCACAAGGATCCACTTCCCATCTTCACAAGTGTCTTCTGCTTCCTTATATCAGTGTGGTTTATGTGTCTAGGAAATTACACTATTACATTGTTAATATTTTAAATTTGTTTTATCTAAAAAAAAATGGTGTTGTACACCCATCCTCTCTCGCTCAACCCTTCTCAGAGCTGCGTGCTAACAGTAACAGTTTGTCGGTGGCTCTGCTATCACAGAGAGCTCTATTTCTGGGTGCCAGGATGTTGGTCTCAGTCATCGAGGGCAGATGAAATCGATCCAGATTGACCTGTCATGTGGAGGAGAAAATGAATGAGACAGAGGAGGGATGCAGAGGCCATAGAGAGAGGGGGCAGAGCAGAAGTACAAAAACAACCTTCTGCTCCATATGGGTCAAAAGTCGAGGGATGATTTATTCAAGACTGGGTGTTATCCCCTGCTCCCTCCTTTCCGTTCCACCTGCCTCTCGGAAAGGAGTGAGAAACTGGAGACTGCTCAGGAGGAGCTGACTATATTTAGCCTTAGTGACCATAGACACTGCGGTCTAACTTTAAAGTTAAAAATATAGATATCCATGTACAGTGAGATGGGCACAGTTTGCGTCACTACAGGGCACCAAGCACAAGTTTGTCAGCTTGAAATGACTCAGACTGAGGAAGGAGTGCAAAGCAGCTTGTAGCTTTCACTGGGCGCTCTTTCAGCAAAAGATTGTGTATACTTAATCACATTCACTGGAGTTATTCTACATTTATCCTGCATCAGTACTACAGAGGATTCAATGTATATGTGTAAGCATAAACATGACACAAGAAGAAAAAAAATGGTACTCCTGATTGTGAGAATGATACTTTCCTAGCAAAGAGAGAGAGGAAGAAAGAAAGAAAGAAAGAAAGAAAGAAAGAAATAAAGAAAGAAAGAAAGAGATTTATGACTGCATTTGTCTGTGAAGTGGTACTAGATTTAGCCCAGTGTGTTTGGGCAGAGCTCCACTTTGCTAATTATTTTCCTGTGGCAGAGTTCTCAGCATGGCGCTCCTCTCTCGCTCTGAGAAGAGAGGCTCAGCGGTAAGTGCTTAGTCAGCCGTACTCTGGGTGTGAGAGATACTGTTGGGTCTCTGGTGGACTGTCGGGGAGGGAGAGCAGCATGGGACCAAGCCATCGTAAGGGCGAAGGCTTGGAGGGGAGAGGGGAGGCCAATCATCACCCATCAGTGAAAGGAAGGGGAGTAAAATACTACTGTTGTGAACAAGAGCTGTGTTTTGTAATTGCCTCGGTCCTCATCGCCATGAGGCAACATCGCTGTTTGAGGCGACTTTTTGTGGAGACCGGATGTCACTTGGCCTGAAGAGCCCAGTCATTGTGGACATAGCTGTTATAAGAGTCTATAGCCGCAGCCACTCATTAGCAATTAGCAAAGGCATGGGTATAAAAACTTATTCACATCATCTTTAGTTTCTATACTGCCTTGATCTCAGTGCCAATCCCTCAGTCATTCAGTCCAGAAGAAGCTGTCTGCGTTCTCTGTTTCTCTCCTCCCTCTCTATTTATACTCCAATGTCAAACTTGTCTTTCTTTCTATCTCTACCCCTCTTTTTAGAGTGACACACAGCTCCTCCTCTTCTGTCTGCCCTGCTATCCTCCAAATGACTCTCCTCCTCCTCCCAAACAAACTTAGCTTCCTTCCCCTCGCCTCTGTTCCCAACGTCACTTTCTCTCCCTCCGTCCTCCCCCTCTGCCTCACACTGCACCTGCTTCCCTCCTGCTCTCCGCTCCCTCTCCAAACGTCACTTTTCCCCTCCCCTCCACTCCTCCACTCCTATTCTCCCCCTCGTTAGCTTGATGAATGGCTTCACTGCGGGGAAAGTGCTGATTTTCATCCCTCTGTCTGATTTCTGCTGGCTGTTATTAATTTCAAACACTCAGAGAAAAGCAAGTGAGTCAATAAATAAGGAAATGAACACACTTCATCCTGCCATACAGCGGCTCTCACAGTCATTCACCCAGGATGCAGGTCCTCTGTGGAGGCCAGGCCTGCATTTATACTGATAGAGTTCACCCCCCCTCTTAGATCATGGAACGTTTCAGTATTTTTTTTTTTTTTTTTAAAGCAAGAATAAAAGTCTTCCAGTACCATTGTACCCTATCAAATGTTTCTGGAGTATTGTCAGTATCTCGCTTCACTCAGACAAAAAGGACCAGAGGGAGACAGGGTGGCACAAAGTAAATAGCTCTGAAGAGACCCGCAGTGTCCTCTCTCATCTTTCATCTTTCATACTAGTGCACCATTTAAGAAATGTATACAGAGAGAGTGACAATGGGAAGAGAGATAGGGGAAGATGCAGGGTGAAAGAGAGGCAATGAGAAGCAGCAGCCTAACAGAGTTATTGCTGCACATTAAACACTCGCTGTCCACACAGTGTGGCTGGGGCTCTATGTCTAAGTGCACATTACTTACATTCCAAGCTTAATGCATTGTGCTTGCGCGTTAACATCAAAAGCAAATAGCCTCTGAGACAATATGATTCTCTCGCTTTCTTGCTGTCAGACAGAAACGCTTGCACCAAAAGTTGTTATTCTCTATATTATGTATTTAATTAAAATGAGTAAGGGTATTTAATCAAAACAGAATCAACCATAATGCATGCACAGACACAGAAATTAAAGCCCAAGATATCATCACGCTGTTTACAAAGTGTTAAGACAAACTGGTGGAGTGTCCTATTAATACATGTCTGACACATACACATGTCCTCGGTTGTGTGGGCTGTGCTCTGCAGCGACATGGCTTATGTTTCCCTTGGCTTGGACAATTAAAACAATATTTGCTATCATCCTAATAAATATACAGATTTTATTAAGGCCAACACTAAGGTCAGTTTATTGATTTCAGCTTTGTGGGACTGTCC